CCGTGGCGTGCAGTTGTGACCTGCCGAGTCTCCTTCAGCTTCATAAACGGACGCAAAGAGCTTTCAACTGATTGCAATGTATTCCCATCGGTGGCGGTCTTTGACACTTAGGGAAACACCGCATCCGTTTATGTCGACAGCCCCTTCCGACGTGAGCGTGGTTCTTGGTTCTTGCCGGGCAGCCAAGTGGGGTCAGCTAAGAACCGGTTTTCTGTGTTTAGAGCCGGCGGCTCCACTGCGGCTGAAACAGGAAGAACCAGAGCTAAATCAGGCTGTAGCCCGGAACTGGCTCTGGACTCAGAACCAGAGAAGAACCAGTTAAGCACCAGAAAAGCACAAGAACTGTTCTTGAACCGGAACCGGTTTGGTTTATTGGCAGTTTGCAAACCACTTAAGAGTACTGGAGTGTGAAACAAAAGCTATTGAGTCAGTGTTGTGGTGCTGTTGCTTTGGTCTGGATCTGTGAGCTAACCACGCCCCGTTCATTTGCATATAAGGGATGGAAATGTGTCATTATGACATACAAGTCACCTGAAATAAATAAATGCGTCATTATGAAATACAAGTCACCTGAAATACAAGTCCCCTGAAATAAATAAATGTGTATTTAAATGTACATGTATACATATTTATTGCCTCATTTATTTCAGAATTTATTTCATAGGCATATTTATATATATATACAGTATATATATGTATTTATTTAATTATTTATGTATTTATTTAATTGTGGCTTAAATGGCATTCCATAGAGGTGAGTGTTGTTATTCAACCCAGTCTCACGGCATTTCGTGTTCACCAACACGATTTTTAATCTATTGATTCGTGTTCACCAACACGATTTGCCCCTTTTTTTCGTGTTGCACAGCACGATTTTAAAAGCAATGTATTTCTACTGCCTGCAGCACGTCTTTTTCTCCGGTCGGGTCGAGGAAGACCGGAAGCTGTGTGGTTCATAAAAACATGTTCTTACTCAATATCAAGCCACAGTTATTGCTTTTATTTTAAATCGTATAATTTCGGACTTTTGTTGCCGTCTGTGAGGAAAATAAATGGGTCTCAGAGCCTCAGAATACGGAAATCTGTATTTTTTAAATCTTTTTGTCCTTCTAATTCAATATTATTTTCAAAATAACACACTGTTATTTACTCACCAATAACACACAATTATCCTTGCTTTTATTTATTGGTTTCATTCCATAATCTCGGGCTTTTTTGGCGTCCGTCAGGAACTGAATTTCAAAATAAAAATAACCGGAAACAGACGTAGGCATTTCGAGCGATTACCCAAGATCCTCAGCTATGGTTTTAAGCTCGCTTATTGGATGTTTTAGCCGCAATGCATGCTGGGATTTGGTGTTTATATTATATGAAATCCGGAAAACATTTTAAAAGAATAAAATAATACTTAATTCCGAGTGCTCTTGCTTTTCTCTTTGAAAGTCATCACATAACGGCATTGTAATACACGGTTCGGCTGCATTGTATATTACAGATCTGCCGTAGTTCTTTATTTATAGAGCCCTGATGAGAAGAGCTTTGGAAAAACGCCGCCGAATCTGAATACTTGACGTGGATCATAAATATATTCAACAATTAAACAACATCTTCAATTTCTCTTCACACAATACGTCTCCTTGCAGTATCAACACTAATTCGGCTGACTTTTACATTTGATCTAATTCACAGATATATATTCACAAATAATACAAAGTTATTCTGGCTGTGTGTACCTTGTGTGCACCTCCTAGTGGTTAAAGCACGTTATTGCATTTTTATTGAATTAAAAAAATATTAAGAGTACATACTTTCATAGGGGGAAAGTATAAATATAGAATATAAAAAATCAAGAAGATACTATAAGTGATCTCTACAATAAAACAGTTTAGTGCAGAATGTACAAAGATATGAATAGGAGGAGGTGCAAAACAGAAAAACGAATCAACCTTTATTTAAACATTAAATAACAGATTAAGGTCTTCTTTTAAATAAGAAAAAAGCTTTGGGGGTATCTATCTACAGATAAATATTAAGCCTGACAAAGTACTTAACGTCTAATATATTGCTTTCCTGCAATGTTAACTATGTTGAAGCACTTATTTTAACTGATATTATACACATTAATTATACTCTTATATATGTAGATAGAATAAGAAATGTGCAGACTATGACAGTTTAATGGTGGAGGTACACACATATTGATAGATGTCTTGTAATGCACTGTTGAGGAACCTGTGACCCAAGATTTTCATTCATTGCATAACTACACCGTAGTTGTGTATATGATATGTCAATAAACCTTTGAAAATCTTGAAAGGGATGTGCAAAATAGCCATTATATACAGTCTTTAATGAACTATTAGTAGAGAATAACGAGTAATGAATATACTTTATTACTCGTTTCCATTCATGTCAATTGCAGATACATGTTTAGTCTTCTCAAGCACCAACTATCAAATATCTCTCCTGATTGTTGGCACTTGACAATCACCTTACCTGAATTGTACTCAGGTGTAACTAAAGTCTGATTTAAGGGTTGTTTATATTTCACATCATTAATCAGAATCTGCAAAGTAACTCAAATAAATGTAGTGGAGTAAAAATACCAGGTTAACCTCTGAATTGTAGTGGAGTAGAATTACAAAGTAACAATGAGCTGTCATGTGGGTATTAATGCTGCGCATTATGGACACAAGCGATGTTCACCCATTTATGAATTATATGTTTTACATTTGATAACACCAATGTGTTTAATACTGGCAACTTCTAATTGTGGGAAATACGAAAACGTTCAGTAGAGACGTCCCATAGAACATTTTGCGAAACACAATAGCCAGCATGTGTAGTTCTGGGGGGGCGTTCGGTTCCAGTTTTGGATAGTCTGGCGTGGTTTCGTTCCATTTCACACAGCTGTTTGACGCTCTGCGTAACCTTACGGGGACTGTAGTCCTAAACGATAGCTGGGGATTATGGGTAGTGTAGTGTCTTCGGCCATCCTAAACTCAGAAATGTTGACAATCGCAATGATGCTCAAAATGTCCCTTATAGGCCTACGTCTGTTTCCGGTTATTTTTATTTTGAAATTCAGTTCGTGACGGACGCCAAAAAAGCCCGAGATTATGGAATGAAACCAATAAATAAAAGCAAGGATAATGGTGTGTTATTGGTGAGTAAATAACAGTGTGTTATTTTGAAAATAATATCGAATTAGAAGGAAAAAAAGATTTAAAAATACAGATTTCCGTATTCTGAGGCTCTGAGCCATTTATTTTCCTCACAGACGGAAACAAAAGTCCGAAATTATACGATTTCAAATAAAAGCAATAACTGTGGCTTGATATTGAGTAAGAACATGTTTTTATGAACCACACAGCTTCCGGTCTTCCTCGACCCGACCGGAGAAAAAGACGTGCTGCAGGCAGTAGAAATACATTGCTTTTAAAATCGTGCTGTGCAACACGAAAAAAAGGGGCAAATCGTGTTGGTGAACACGAATCAATAGATTAAAAATCGTGTTGGTGAACACGAAATGCCGTGAGACTGGGTTGTGTTATTATGTGTCTGCCGCAGACTTGGCATTCTGGCTGAAGGACCAGACAAACGGCAGCAACTTTCCCTCTGCTTCATTCATTTGTCCTGTTCAACAGGTTAGTAGTGTGTACAACGATTACGTCATATTTCGATCTAAGAAGTGTGTTTGAAACTGTTCTTTATGTGTAGTTTAATTTCATTCTGTGAGCTAGTTCGGCTCACTACAGTGGCTAATGGCGTCCGCTAGCTTCTTTAGCACAGGCCATCGCTCCCTGAATAATGTAGGACTCAAACTACTTACTAGGTGTATGACTCCCGTGCACTAGTTTGGCTTACATTTCAAGTGTATTCTTTTTGTATATATATGTGAAATGCTGGTCTGAGGTCATCATTGTTCCCATTATTTAAATGCTAATAGCCCAAATGCTATGCTAATATTGTGGCTGTCAGTGTACAACAGAGCCAGGTTAAAGGGAGTACAGTCAACCGGGTTGTGTGTGTTATCACTGTATGATATACTGTAAATGAAGAAGGCTTTAATCCTTCATAAAACTCATAATATGGCATGTGAATTGATTTCCATTTTTGATTGGAGACAAATATGTCATATAGTTATTTTGATTTGCTAAATGTAAATGTATGTTAAGATCAGATGTAACCGATGTATCATTTCATTTGTTTATATTTCACTGAAATCCTTTGTCCATACTTTATTTGTAAAACTTGTCACTGTCACTTTATTTCTTAGATGCTTTTATTTTGAAAAGTGCGTTTTATTTTGGTACTCTTGGCACCGGCACATTGCTGCAGACTCGCGCTACTTTCTTAAGTTAGCTTCAGGCCTCACTGAGGAGAAGTAAGTGGAACGAGTGGTGTCATAAATGTTGTATTTTATATGTTAATAGATTGTTTAATGTTACACTTCACACAAGTCACGACTGTTTGCAGTTAATGTCTATATGTTGCAGTGTGTAACGGTAGTTTATATAATGTGCAGCGCTTCAAACAGTGTTTGTGAGCTTTCTAAAGTGTAGCTATAGATGAGAGTAACACCTACGTCACTTCCGGGCAAAAATTACAGCCCGCCCACTTTTGGGGGAAAACAACGCTGTCAATACAAATTCGGAAGTTTTTGCCAATCCGATCAAATGTTTTTGAAAACCGTGGATTTTTGGACCTTCAATGAGCTCGATTACGATGGCCAGTCAGGCAAACAATTACATTAGATCGTTGGTAATCGACAATCGGTCTTGATATGGTAGGTTTTCGCCTGTTTCGCCTGTTTGGGGTTTATATCCTATTTATAGCTTAAACGCACGCCGCTGTGTGGACGGGCCGTAACATAAAAAGACAGTATCTATAAGGGACGGCTCAAGTCGTTCTCGGGGTGGATGCCCTCTCAGCCCTGGTCTGGGGGAAACACTGGGTTGACACAATAACTGGTTTTAAGTTGTGAGGAAAGCACGCACCATGACCTCCGTCCCGCAGGTGTTGCTGTCGAAGCTGAAGGTCACCAGGTGGCTCTGGGGGTCCATGTGGCCCTTGCAGCTGGGGTCTTTGAGGTGTAAGGTGGAGAAGTCGATGCCTTTCTCAGCCAGCAGACATCCAGCCAGAGTCACAGTGGCCGAGCCCTGCCTGCAGACCGGCGGCTCGCCTGCAAACACACCGACACTTCAAGTTAACCTTTGTCAGGGAGAAAAACGAGCTAAAATAACCAACTGACGGTTAGCTCCAAAAGTCCAAAGAAAGAAAAGTACATTCAGGGGCTGTGGTCAGGATGACCTATCATATAATGATATTACATTTATGATATGAATAACTACTAATGTCTCTAAAGAACATGTGATGCGTTCAGGAGCGCCTCTCCTCCAGCTCCGTACCTAAAGACTTGGTGGCTCTGTACTTGGAGGCGAACCCAGCCCGACAGAAGCAGCGAGACGACGACCACATCTGTGCTCCACAGAACTCATGATCACTGCAGGGCTGCTGACAGAGAGGGGGGGGGGCTACACACACACACACACAGTATTTTATTTATTCCACTGCATTTAGTGGGCAGATATCAGATAACGATTATAAAACTCATGATAGTATCAATAACAATTTATAATATATATTTAAAATATATTGATAAAAGTTATATATATATTATCATCTATCTATACAGGAGATATCACACACATTCTTCACCGTAATAAAACATCCAACATGAGGAGCCAACTATGACAGCTACAGTAGACTAGTTTAAAATATTTAAAATGAAATGAAAATAATTAGTTTTACAAAATCTATGCTTTTATTCATTTTAATTTAATTTCTACTTTTTCCTTCATGCACAGTTTAAAAAAGTTATCATAATAATATCACTAATAGTAATAACAATGATTATATAAACTATTACTAGGAATGAAGTAATAAACCTAGAATGAAGTGGAACACTGCACACTATCCATATTACATATATCCTGTATTTGAACATACTCAGGCTACTATACAAACACAGGGACTTCCAGTTGTGTATTAAACAACCCGGTCTCACAGTCTGCGTACAAATGACACGACTTTGCAAAGGTGTGCATTACATTGCATTTAGCTGACGCTTTTATCCAGAGCGACTTACAATAAGTGCGTTCGACCAACAAGATACAAACTAGAAGAAAACAGAATCATAAAGTACATCAGGTTTCATAGAGCCAAACATTTCAAAGTGCTACTCAACTGGCTTTAGGTAAGCCAGTCCTTTATTAGTATAAAAGTGCTTTGTTAGTCATTCTATCGCTGGAAGTGGAGTCGAAAGAGATACGCAGAAGTCCGATTTTGCGTGCATATGATACGCTGATATTGCACCTCACACATTAAAACAAAGAGCTCTGGCTTCAGGCTTGATCGCCGTTCCAATGACAGTTTCAATGTTTGCGGTGCAATAAATGACACAGCAGCTTATTGGGTTATGGTTAGGGTTAAATAAATGGCAAAGATATGTAGAAAACAAACGCATTTAAGATACGTTCATAACAAACGTAATGTGGGAGTATCATATGCACGCAAAATCGGACTTCTGCGTATCTATTACACGCCTTTGCAAAGTCGTGTCATTTGTACGCAGACTGAAGAGAGTGGGCGGGTATTAAACCACAACGAACGTCAATATTAAAGTGAAAGAGAATCTTACAGCAGCCAGTAGTTGACCTCCAGTCCTCCAGGGTCACTTTGGCATCCAGGCTGCAGGTCTTGGCGTAAGCCTCCAAAAAGTGGCAGTCGACCCCATCCACTGACGGGTATCTGCACAGAGTGTGTGTGCAGGCGCTGATGTACGGCTCTGGGTCGGTGTGCTCGTGACAGGCGGAGAAGGGAGGCTGCCTCATGAGATTACAGCTGTTCAGAGGGAAGAGTTTTCCGTGTTACATTGGTTGATCTTGCAGAAACAACGCTGCTTATATGGCATGACAAGACGAGGGTGTTCATGGCTCAGCTCTTACTGGTCGGTGGAGCGGTTGCAGTTGATGGTGCTGTCGACTGAGTCCTGGGATTGAATCTCACAGCTAGAGGGAGACAAAGATCACATCACATCTGAACCCTAATCATGACAAATAGGTAATATCAGTCAGACTGAGCGGTACCCAGGGAGGCTGACAGAGGACTTCTCGGCAGTCAGGCTGGTGGTCCAGCTGGAGTTGGAGGGGCTGCCACACAAACCCTCTACAGCTTCAGGAAGTCCTGGTGGATGTGAGGGTACAATTAAAGCTATGCTTCAGAAATAAATATGTAATATTCAGTCCAGATTGGAAGTACTGGTCTGTACCTGCCACATGTGCGCTGTTGCCATCAAAAAAGAGAGTCATGTTGGAGGACGGGAACTTAGCAGTGACTCCAGTCTGGTCCTTGGAGAGCTCCACGCCGTGCATCAGCTGAGCTGTGCTGTTGAGCACCAGGGCTTCACCACCAACCTACACACACACACACACACACACACACACACACACCACACACACACACACACACCACACACACACACACACAACACACACCACACACACACACACACACACACCACACACACACACAACACACACACACACACAAGGAGCACACACACATACACACCACACACACACACACACACACGCACGCACACACACACACACACACACACACACACACACCACACACACACAAGGAGCACACACACACACACACACACACACACACACACACACACACACACATGAACACAAGGAGCACACACACACACACACATGCACATCAACACAAGAAGCACACATACACACACACACATACACACACACACACACACACACACACACCCACACACACACATCAACACAAGGAGCACACACACACACACACACACACACACACACACACATCAACACAATGAGCACACACACACACACACACACATCAACACAAGGAGCACACACACACACACATCAACACAATGAGCACACACACACACACACACACACACACACATCAACACAAGGAGCACACACACACACACACACACACACACACACACACACACACATACACACATCAACACAAGGAGCACACACACACACACATCAACACAATGAGCACACACACACACACACACCACACACACACACACACACACATACACACATCAACACAAGGAGCACACACACACACATCAACACAATGAGCACACACACACACACACACACACACACACACACATCAACACAAGGAGCACACACACACACCAACACAAGGAGCACACACACACATCAACACAATGAGCACACACACACACACACACACACCAACACAATGAGCACACACACACACACACACACACACACACACACCACACACAATGAGCACACACACACATCAACACGATGAGCACACACACACACACACACACACACACTCACACACACACACACCAACACAATGAGCACACACACACATCAACACAAGGAGCACACACACACACACACACACACACACACACACACACACACACAGAGGGTTTGTGATACACCACCACAAAGTAACTCCTAGCAGGAATGATCAGCATTGCTTGAGCACCCATAACTACAACGTGCTACCGTACCCGAACTCTTCCTCCTTGCTCCAGATACATGGTCACACCTGGCAGCGACAGGATCAGGTGGTCCAGAAGAGGAACATCTGTACGCCGGCGCTCCCTGAAGGCGGCCGTGAGGTTGAAGCTGGCGCTGCCTTCAGGCTCCATCAGACTGTAGGCACAGCGATCCTGGACAGAGTGCACTGCTCCGTGGAAACCAATCACCGTGGAGCCCGTCACCGTGCACACCACCGGAGGAATAGCGCACCTGATGGACATTCAATTCAACATTCAATTCAACATTCAATTCAACATTCAATTCAAAGGGTTCATTGTCATATGCACAAAGCTGCAGTGGAGAGATGGCAATGACATGCTTCGGACCTGAGCTCCTGCAACGATGCAACATATATAATAAAATACAAACATAAAAAGTAGTGCAAAAAGTCTATAAACATGTAAATAGAATATGATATGTAAAAGAAGACATGGAGAGGGACTCACAGTCTGGGTCTTTTTAAGACAGACATACTTTACACTCATCCTAAACTCAAAGGAAATGAACCCTTCTCAAAGTTCACAATATGACACATAAAGGTCAGTAGAGTTACATTCAGCCTGTGAAACACGTACAAATATAATAATATCTCTCTCATAAATACGTGTGGAATACTAAACATCTTGAAGTATTTTATAACACAGGCCATACAGTGATATTGTGTTGCATTATGGGTAATGCTCAACTCTACTTGGGACAACCCGGATATCTGCGGTTTGGTCTTATGGACGCAGCACTACAGTACTGATGGAGCTGGCCTCGGAGGATTGAAACATGTGTAAAGCATGAAGGAGAGGTCAAAGGATCACTTTATAGGAACACTGCACACACACCGAGACGCTGTGCATCCATCTGGATCTCTTTTCAGAAAGTGTCCATCACGAGGCCCACCATGGCAAAGAAGTGCAATGGGAAATAAGTGGAGAAGGTTTTTTAGGATTTATAGACTGAACCGTTCCCCAGCTGATCAGAAACAATAATGGATGGACTTGAAAGCCCTTTCCACTGAAATGAGAGCCGTGTTAGTTGGGACGGTTGGTTCTCAATGTTGGACCAGTTACCTGTTCATTCGACAGCACTGTTTACGTCCCTGCATTTTCCAGCAAAGCCAGCTCAGGCAAAAACTACAGCAATGGCGGCTGCATTGGAGCTGTGCTCTCGTTGCTCTTCTTCAGATCCAGGTTGAACTGTTCCCACTAGGATTCAGAGGCATTCCCCGTTGCTTTAGTGACAGTCAGTAATTCACTGCTGACTGTCTCTAAAGCAACAGATGCAGATTTCCCCAGTGATTCATATTTTGTTCAGTTTTAATGTGCAATGTTTGACGTTACCTGCAAACGTTTCCCTGTATCATATGGATGATGTTAGCATAGCCAGTCTGATGAAGCAACAACCAGATTAAGAGCCATCAAACTAAATTAAACGTATTTAAAATAATAACACATGATGAACATTAGATGGTTACGGCGTTTTAATTATTCTCCATAAATGCACATGTTGCTATCATTGTGTCATTTGTCGTTTCTACCGGCGTTCTTTCAATAGGATTTCACTTGTGATCTGATATGACAACTTGTGTAGCCTACGGTATGAAGTGATCACACCTGAAAGCTGGTTTAAAAACAACAGGAGAACGGGTCGTGCTGCTCCTCAAAGCGGGCCATGAGAGCGAGCGTATCTCTACGTTTGCCCGGGGAAGGTGGCGGGACATAAACAAAAGTGTGAGTCTCGTTTTGGTCACTTTGCTCGGCTCTAGTGATCTGACCCAGCCTCCACACAGATCTGGTTCTTGGTTCCAGTCCAGCAGAGCTCTGGTTCCTAACACGAACCAGTTTTTCTCATGGAAACCATGAAAGGACTGGAGAGCTATCGGGCACTAGCTCTGAACTGACCCTGGAACTGCTTTGGTGGAAAGGGGTGATAGAAATAGGAATCAGATTCATCAATAACTGCAATAATCCTCAGGTGGATAATATCCTCACTCTCTCATGGAGGGTTCGATCACATGGGACACTTTATTCAAATCAGTCAGACCTTTATTCCTGATAGAAAGAGCACATATTTACGTGTTGTCCGCTTGGCAAACCTCCTCGGGCTCACATGCTGTGACATTAGAGAGGACTGCAGACAGAGAACACAGTTCAACAGAGCAGGGCTCTGCGCTGGGCATCTCTGAACCCGGCATTACAGCGCCACCTTGGAGGAGAATGGAGGTAATGATATTACACTTCAGTGACTACAGGCAGATTTTAAGATAGACATGTTTTAATATCACATTTCACTTAGAGGATCCCTTTCTTTGGGAACCCCCAGACCAGCTTACCTGAGACTCTGCATCCACTCAGGTCTCGAAAAGTATATTGTCGTGCAGGAGGCTTCCAGGTATCCATCACTGTGCCACCGACTTTTGTAGACAGTTCCTAGTAAAGGATTAAACAGAATGTATTTGTATGTATATTATTTATTTAACAGGGACATTGCACACTAAGAACCATTTCTGTAAATGTGCCAGAGTTAGCCAAGAGGCTCTTTTACATCTGTAGTCCCTGGACAGATGTTTGAACCTTAAAAACACATTTAAAATAACTAGTAAACACAATCATTAAAAACAAAGGTAACCTCAATACTGTAAACATGAATGAAAGTGTTCTAGATGCCACTTGTGATATATTTCCTCCGATGTTAGGGCATGAAGTGACAGTGAGAGCAGTGGGGAGCTCCTTCATTATTCCAGATTGATATTTCTAATGAACTCCTTTGTCCACTTGAGGACAGGAAGGAGCAGAACCACCTGGTGCTGTGAGTCCAGCCTGCCCCGTTAGCTCTGCATGCTAGCAGCTACATGTGGTGTCACTGATAATAACTCTCTTTGTCTTCATGCTAACACATGATGCTGAGTGACTTCTGCTTCCTGAAACTCTAAGGCTGAGTATGACATTATTTCTGACACCTATCTCTGTTTAGAAGTGAACATAAGAAGAGAGTTTTAAAAGGAGAGGCTTAGAGGAGCAAACAGACTGCACGGTGTCTTCTCCATTCACCTATCCTTGCTGAACTGAAAGCTTGTTCTGTATTCATATGAATGATGTCTGATGGTGAGACAAAGGAATAATGGATCACACACAGCCTCAGTTCTCATCTCTCAGGGTGGTTAGGGTACAGAAGTCTTCTCAGGGATCAGTTCTCATTCAGAGTGCGTGTGAGGAAGGCTGGAAGACAGCAGCTTTCTAACATAAAGGATTTAGGATATGAGTTTCCCTGGCACACAGAAACAAACAGGAACACATTGCATTGGTATCGGGACCTGACAAAGTGTAACTCTCAACATCGGTGAGGCTGAAGGGTTAGGGTTAGGTAAGAGCCTCATGTCATACTTACTAAACTAGAAGAAAACGGAAGGCCAGCAGGATGATATGTAAAGCAAGCAGCTTGTAAACCATGATTGAAGAATGACAACTCCATCACCTGAAAGCAGGAACAGAAGAGAAATATTAGGAAACGCTTCCAACATTTTACAAATAAACTTTGATTTGAAGTTGTCTTTGCCACACAATGTCTTTGAAATGTTCATGTTGTACAAACAGCTGGACAGCCAGTCGGTGTGTAACAGGGATCGGATCAGGACTCACATTCAATCTTTGACCATTGTAGAACGTGAGATCAATCAAACCCAGTCCCTGGGTGTTGATGTTAACAAGATCAGAGCGAGCAGAAAATGACATAACATCAACAGAGTACGTCAGTTTGGTTGAAACCACCCCGTCGCTGGTCACCACACAGTCAATGTCGTCCTCAGATGGGTCATTTTTTAAACAAACTTCAACCTTATTGCCGATCTTCACCTGCAAAAACAAAAAGGGAACAACAATATGAAGGCTTTCGCTCCAAAACAGCATCGTTTCCTCTCCTCAAATGTTTGAGCTGCAAGGTGTGCTTTTAGCTACGGAGAAAAAAGATAGGATCAATGATGAGATCAAAACATTTCTCTCACTTTGGAAAAAAGCTTTCTACAAGCCACTGTCCAACAAGTCTTTATGTGTCCTTTCATACAGAGACACATGAGGAATCAAAGAGACGCGTCCAGCTGCTCCAAACCACTTCCTGTTGGCTCTAGTAATGATCTGTCCCCACTCCATTGAACTGATCTGATCAGTGCCTGACCCCATAGACCCCAGAGGGGAATGTTACGCTCACTTTCCAGCTCAGGACCAGACTCACAGTGATGCATTATGGGACCAAGCCTGTCTCAGAGCGTCTGATATTGAATAATATGAGGGGAAACTTTCATAATACCCAAAATAACAGCTGGCACAAAAAGCACACTTTAAACTTTGTGTGTAAAACTCAATTAATTCTCCGCCTTTAGCAACATGTCATTATTCATGTGCTCCCATATTTACAGGCTGACACGCTGAAAGGTAACAAACCGCTTACATCTAGATATAAAGAAGATCAAGACAAAAACACTAGGGACTGATTCTGAGGACATTCTCACTCCCAGCTCGGCCTATGTTGACGTTATGTCAGGGTCCGTGTCGTCACTTTCCAACGCAAGGGGGGGTGCCTTTAGCGTCGAGTTTCAACTATCAGGGCGTCCCATTGACTTGCATAGAGCTCCCTGAACGTTGGTAATAGACGAGTTGGGATCGCGGCGAAATGCTCTCCGCAGATCCATTCTCACAGCGTTTATCAACCTTTTTCTAACTCAATATCAAACCACACTTATTGTTTTTACTTCTTTATTTTAAAGTAATAATGTAGGGCTTTTGTTGCCGTCAGTTATGGGGAGAGTAGGGGCTCAGATGTTGTATTCTTTTCTAAACCACACTGTTATTTACTCAACAATAACACATCATGTAACAACCGGAAAGGTAAACACCGGTAGTCACTCACGGTAACGCCCACCCAGCCAGTGATTCGCTGTTGGTTGGCGCCTCCATTCAATTCCCCCTATATAGTTAGACGGAGCAGGAAGGGGAAGTGTGTGTGCAGCAAGAGAGATCGTCGGAGCAACACGCTCATCCGTTTAGAAACCAGCAGTTAGGTCGTTTAAAGTCCGTGTTACCGTTTGTATGAGGGGCCGTACAGGCCGTAATTCATACTGGTCCTCTCACGCACATACATTCTCCTTTTACATACATATATTTTCACTCTTACATACATTCTCCTTTTACATACATATATTTTATAATATATGCATGTCTGAAGAGAATATATGTATGCAAGAGAAGAATGTATGTATGTGTGAAGACAATATATGTATGTGAGAGAGAATGTATAGTGGAAACGGAAGGAGTATGGTTGAAACGGAAGGCAGGTCATTCTTGCGCTGTGATTGGCTCAGAAGGTCGAGCGGGGCGGGCTCATGTTCAGAACTTCACACAGAGCATAAGCTACCATGGAGATCTAGCCCGCTAAAAAGAGAACCAGCTTCGTAGGACCGGAAACCCCGAGTTTTCCCTGAAGTTAGCCGCTAAGAGAACATCCTGCTTCGTAGTATACCCCCCTGGAAAGCAGTCGGCTCACGACCGCAGGGTCCCTGGTTCAACGACTGAACAATACGTCTTTTTTGTTGTTTATAAAAGCTACAGCTAAATGAGATAATGTAGAATTAAATGTATTCTTTGATATGGTTTAGCCTTTCTCGGGCTACAACATGGTTACGTTTATGAAAATTAGTAAGGAATACAAATCCCTCTTTGCAAGTTTTCCAGCCTCCTTAGGCTTTTCAATCACAATCATTCAACTGGAATAAAAACAATATAGTTAACATGAAAATATGATTTAATGTTGGTTGTTTAGAGTTATGCTAAGGCTTTACTCATTGGGAACTCGGTATGAGATAGAGCACACTGTTGAGATGTCCAATCTGCCTGTTTTACACACTTTGACCAACAGGGGGTTTGTGTTCAGATGAAGCCCATGATGAAGCCTCATGAGATGAGCCCTTTTGCGAACCAATTGGCTGGAAAGCTTCAAAGCATCATAAGGCTTCATCTCGCCATCACTAGTAGTTGCTTTAGAGAATTTTACACCCGGAAGTAAGTATTCTCTCCGCTTCGCTTGACAAACCCCGTGATAGTCCTCAAGCTCTGTCATTGGAGAGTGTGCTCCGAGGGTTACGCAGAGCGTCGAACAGCACTTGAAATGGGATGGAACCACGGCAGACTGTCCAAAACTGGATTTGAACGGGTCCACCGCGTCCCCCCCTCCCCCACCCCGTCCCCAGAACTACACATGCTGGCTATTCTGTTTCGCAACATGTTCTCTATCTTTGGCATGTTGGCACGTCTCTACTGGGAGTTGTAATTTTAAAAGACGTTTTCCCATATTTCCCATAATAAGAAGTTGCCAGTATTAAACTGTGTACATCCCTGGAAGTTTAGGGGATAGGAAACACTCAAATTTAAAACATATAATTAATAAATGGGTGACAATTGCTTGTGCCCATAATGGGCAGCATTAATATATACCCACATGCCAGCTAAGGTCAGAAGAGCTTTATTTAACAGCTGGTCTTATGTGTGTGACCCCTGTTGTTAATTGATAACATTACATTACATTAATTGATAAGCCTGAAACATGCACTTGTTAAGGTTCAGAGGCACATTTTGCAAATATGACAGTAGCCATCGATCAGCTTAAGATAAGATATACTTTATTGATCCCAAGTTGGAAACATTTGCGTTACATCAGCATGTGTAACAGTTGTAAATATGCAGTGGTGTTTATTTGTAAAACATTTAGTATAATCACACAAATTCTGTGTTTTATATTTAATAATTCTGTGTTCTTTATTTATTGAATGTTCAATACCTGACAAGGCCGGAGATGAAAAACCTGGGTCGCAGGTTCCTCAACAGTGCATTACAAGACATCTATCAATATGTGTGTACCTCCACCATTAAACTGTCGTATTCTGCACATTTCTTATTCTATCTACATACATCTTATATAAGAGTAAAATACATATGTATAATATCAGTTAAAATAAGTGCTTAAACATACAGTAGTTAACATTGCAAGAAAGCAATATATTAGTACTTTGTCAGGCTTAATATTTATACCCCCAAAGCTTTTTTCTTATTCAAAATAAGACCTTAACCTAAAGTATTCTTTAATTTAAATAAAGCCTTATTAGTTTGTCTGTCTGTGTCTCCTATTAATATCTAATAATTAAAATAATACATTTCAATAACGTGCTTTAACCACCAGGTGTCACTTTCTATCAGCTGTGCACCGTTATGGTGTAAATACACCAATATACCGATTGGATTAAATAGAAAAGTCAGCCGAATTAGTGTTGATACTGCAAGGAGACGTATTGTGAAGAGAAACTGAAGATGTTGTTTAATTGCTGATATATTTATGATCCACGTCACATATTCAGTTTTGGCGGCAGTTCTTCATGTTTGTCTAGAAGTCTTCTCATCAGGGCTCTATAAATAGAGAACTACGGCAGATATGTAATATTTAATGCAGCCGAACATGTATTACAATGCCGTTATGTGATGACTTTCAAAGACAAAAGCAAGCACACTCGGAATAAAGTATTAGGCTATTTTAATTGAATTTTTTTTTTCCGGATTTCACATCACATAAACACCATATCCCAACGTGCATTGCGGCTAAACCATCCAATCACAGAGCTTGAGGACTAATTACGGGGTTTGAGCAAAGCGGAGAGAATACTTACTTCCGGGTGTAACATTCTCTTAAGCAACTACTATGAGCTGCTCCGACCCTCGGTCCTGACGGACTCCAAAAGTCAGACATTATACAATCAAACAACTCAATAAACACAAGGATAATTGTGTGTTATTGTTGAGTAAATAACAGTGTGGTTTAGAAAATAATACAAAATTAGAAGGAAAAAACGATGAAACAATACAGATGTCAGTATTCTGAGCCCCTACTCTCCCCATAACTGACGGCAACAAAAGCCCTACATTATTAAATTAAAATAAAGAAGTAAAAACAATAAGTGTGGCTTGATATTGAGTTAGAAAAAGGTTGATAAACGCTGTGAGAATGGATCTGCGGAGAGCATTTCGCCGCGATCCCAACTCCTCTATTACCAACGTTCAGGGAGCTCTATGCAAGTCAATGGGACGCCCTGATAGTTGAAACTCGACGCTAAAGCACCCCCCCTTGTGTTGGAAAGTGACGACAGGGACCCTGACATAACGTCAACATAGGGCAGAGCTGGGAGTGAGAATGTGTGGATTCTGAGGACTGTGTTAGAGCCATTCTCTGTGTTGACAATGAGTGTATTACTTTCTTATTAATTTAGATCTTAATATATTCTTTCCACTTATGTATTAGTACCGAATTAAATATTCCGAGAAAAACTTTGATTTCCTGCGAGCCACACCTGTGATATAAGGAAGGGGTGGGACTGAGCGTGAGGAGGAAATTGTCTCCAGCAATGAACGGGGAATCGGAACAGTCTTTGACCTCACGTTACACTAATCCTTTTGTTTATTTTGTTTGTTTAAAGATATGGAAGTAAAGAAATCAGCTCTACAGAGCTTTATTTGGATGGTTTTTAACGTGTGAGTCAACAAGCGGATCCCTGTTGACATGGCACAGTTTTTAGATATGCCACAAGAATGGGCCACGACAGACTGTGAGTGAGTTATAACATATTAATAAAACATTAAACAGTGAGTTATGTGTAATATCTGTAATAGCTTATACCTTTATTATGTGTAATACGTGTAGTAAGTGTAATACGTGTAGTATGTGTAATGATACCAGTCGTCAGCAGTCAGTGTGTGTGCTGGATGATCACAGGAAACACAGGCAGGGGGTTCATTGTACTCACGTGTAACCATGTGTAGGTTTTTCCATAGAAAGTGATGGGAACGTCGCTGATGTTGATGTTTCCACCAGGAGCATTCAGAGTAACAGTCTCAGAGGCAGAGAGCTCCATCTGGCTGGCAGCAACTGCAGGAGTTCCAGGAGAAACACATCCATCAAGAACAACCTGAACACTCATCGTTCCCTGAAGCCTCTCCTCTGACTTGAAGTGACACTCATCAGTGCAATGAGTGAATAATGATATCCTTATTTGTTCTGTAAAACATGTACTCCTTCAGGGTGAATGTATACAGGGGATCTGGGTTCTGTGCCATTCATAAATACAAGTGGTTGAAGGCTAACCCCCTCATTAACTGAAGCCATCAACATGTTGAATAAGAGCTACCCGTTCAGATTGATATTGATTTAATGGATGAGCTCATGTTTTAAAAGTCTATCATTCAAACATTATCTTGTTTTATTTGCACAAAGCAGACAGTAGAGTAGTGCAGGGCTATTACACACTCGCAGTGACTCTATGCACAGAGGACTTGACTTTGAAACGCATTCATAATGCCTTTCAAACACATGTTGTTTGTCACAGTGAAGCCTGCGATGCTGCTTACCTGCCAGCAGGAGGAGCAGCTTCATGACTCTGCAGAGGAAGAGGCACAAACACCGGGTTAACGCACCATAACACACAATAACAGCGTACACAATGAAGGGTCCTCGGCAGGAAGTGGTTCATACACTTCCTGAACATTCAAAACAATGTTCTCTAAACCCGTCAAATGCTCCCTGACTGGTTCCCTGATGCCACCAGTTTAGTGATGCAAAGAGGCTGTGAGCAAAACTGAGACATTGAGATAAGAAGACGTACTGGTGGTTTTTAACTGAACACATATCTGGAAATAGTTTTCCTCAGCTTTGTCATCAATGAACACACTTTCTCACGTTATGTAGAGAAGGCCCGACTCTGTCAGGGGCAGCACTGTGCACGAGTAACTCCAGGAGTAATGCCAATTCCACCGTGAGCTGGAGATGGAACTTTCTTTCTGTGTCGTTAGCGTTAATAGTTAAACAATCAGTGTGTTTCTTC